AACAAAAAAAACAAAATAAATAAATATATTTTATTTTTTTTTTATTTTTTTTTCTTTTTCTACAGAACGCAAACCCTAAACCCTTAACCACTAACACTAAAACCCTAAACCCTAAAACCTAAACCCTAAAACAAAAAAAGAAAACAAAATAAATAAATATATTTTATTTTTTTTTAATTTATTTTATTTTTTTTTTAATACAGAACACTAACCCTAAAAAACCCTTAACCACCAACACTAAAACCCTAAACCCTAAACCCTAAACCCTAAAACAAAAAAAACAAAATAAATAAATTTATTTTATTTTTTTTAATTTATTTTTTTTTTTATACAGAACGCTGGGAGAACATTTCTCTTCTCAGTATGGATGGGATTTGCTTGCTGCTCGTTCTGTTTGGGCCTTCGGCCCCGCAGAAAGAGGTATTTTACTTTTTTTTTTATTTTTTTATTTTTTTATTCTTTTATTTTATTTTATTTTATTTTCTCTTTTTTTTCTAATTTTTTTTATTCTTTTTGCTTTCGTTTTTTTTTTATTCTTTTTATTTTTTTACTTTTTATTTTTATATCGTTCTGTTTGGGCCTTCGGCCCCGCAGAAAGAGGTATTTTATTTATTTTATTTTATTTTATTTTTTTATTTTTTTATTTTTATTTTTTTTAATTTGTTCTTGTTAATTTTTGTTAATTTTTGTTTATTCTTTTTGTTTTTTATTTTTATTTTTTCTTTTTTTCCGCGTTTCTTTTTTTCTTCATTTTTCTTTCCCCCCCTTCTTTTTCTTTTTTTCTTTTTCTGTTTCTTCTTGTTCTTATTAATTAAATAAATAATTAAATAAATAATTAAATAAATAAATATAAATTAAATTAATTTAGTAAACTTATACAGCCCGCCCGCATAAAATAAAAACAAAAAGAAGTAAACATATATAAATTTCTGTGTATTTCTCTTTAAAACTCATTATTTATTTATTTGTTTATTTATACATATTTATTTATATTTATTTATATTTATTTATTTATATATATTTATATTTATTTATTTATATTTATTTT